AAAAAAAAACCAAACCAAACCAAACAAAAGCCCACTCAAACCAGTGTTCCAAATGGGGTACACCCATCCTTTTAAAGCACTTTAAGGAACTTGGGAGTTTCAAGTATCATTGGCAAGAAAGAGGCTTGAGCTTGTTTCCCACGCCAGCCTGGGGCTTCTCCTAGGAGGTCCAGCCCCTTGAGCAAGCGGGGTTGAAAAAGAGGCAGCCAGGGCAGCAGGAGGCAGCTGCTGGGAAGGCCTCCGTCCATCCCTGGGCTGGGCCTTTGGCAACTGAATTTGAATTCTGGATTATTAACCTCACTCCAGACAGGAACTACAGCCCTCTTCCCCTAAACCTTAGCTCTCCATGCAGAGGCCAAGGCATGGGGGTCCGGCATCTCCGTTCTTGGAGTTGGCACATAGCTAAACAGCAGAGATCTGAGAAGAGCGATGCTGCCTCCCGTCTCGGGAGCACCACACTCGAGTCCAGGGAGCACCCTCACCACTCGAGGGTCACCTGTGGGTCTAGAGCATAGTGGGCTTCCACGTGGTCCGAAAAGGCCCTGTGTTTGGATGCAGGTGCGTCCAACCTGCAGCACAGGCCACAGATAGCTTCAGACACAGCCCAACACAAGGTTGTAAACGTCCTTAAAACGTAAGGTTTTTCTTGTTTGTTTGTTTCTTTGTTTTTGGTAGCTTAACTGTGCAGTTCTTAAGGGTGAACTTCACATCACAATGTCAAAAGGCTAGACACTCGATGTCAAAGTAAACAAATTCCAAGTGGGGCAGCTGTGGGACACTGACCACTCCTCGGAGGGGACTAACTTGGGGGCCCAAAAAGTTGAGCTAAGGATAAGACAAATTATCCCCAAATGGGCATCAATTTATATTAGCCCAATATCTAAACTTCAAATGCCAGTCAGCCAGCTAGGAGCAACCTGGCATAGCCAACTTCATTTTTTAAATCAATTTAATGCTACAAACTTAAAAAAAAAAAAAAAAAAAAAAAGTGCTCAAAGTGCTGTCCTGCTGAGCCCCTGAGAAACCCGAGCTCCCTGAAGATGGGTGGAAGATCTCTTTCCCCTGGGCGCACCATGTGTTGTCCAGAACACATGGCCTTGGTTCAGCCCAGCATCCTCCATCCCAGGAAGGACAAGGGAGACTATTAGACTCCTGTCCCCATCAGGACCACAGAGACCCTGGATGGTCGGCCTATGGGGAAATAAGCCCAAGAAGCCCACGGCTCTTCCCAGATGCCCACACCATCTCCTCATGAGCTGCTGAGACCTACTCTGCCGTAAAGAGCATCCCACCCTCCACCCCGTCATCCCCTCAGCGCTCCAGTGGGGAAAAGGTGCAAACCTGCCCCAAGCTCCTGTCCCTGGGGACCTTGGAAATGGAGTGAGGGCTTGGGAAGGCCAGTCCTTCAACAACTGTGACCAAGAAACGAAACAATTCTCCCAGGGAAGCACGGGTAGCCCGTGGGGTGCTTCTGGTCTTCTTCCTCACACTTGTCTCTGCCTCCACCTCCCAGGTCTCTGACCAGGACGAGGCAGACGCTCTGATTTGGATAATCTCCAGTATGCATGACACGTGCCTCCTGATTTTCCCAGGGGCTCTTCTGGCCTAATTCCTGAAGGCCTGTATTTACATTTTGAGGCTCAGGAGAGATAAGAGATCCAACAGGAAGGGAATCTTCTTGGCTACCTGCTCCTGTACCTCCCCCAACCTACTGGAACCTACTCTGGGATGGAAGAGATGGAGAATCCTAAGCGGACGCCTGGACCCTGCCCTGGGCCCTGCACTTTACTAGAATTACAAGGCCTAAGTGCAATTAACATTCAAGCAAACTGGATAGTCTCCTCAAGACCCAGGTACCACTGTGGAAGGAGAGCCAAGGAGTTGGCCCCGGGCCCCTGGAAATCCAGATGTTCCCTTAGACAGTGGGCATGGGAGGGCCTGTCTGAGGAGAAACTAGAACAAATCTCCCTGCTAAAACTCAGGGTGAACAAACAAACAAACAAACAAACCTGAAATAAATACAAAGGCATTAAGTGCTTCTTGAAAAAGCCAGGGTCCAACTGCCCCTCAGCAGGAGGCAGCAGACCCTTTCCCTGAACATGGCCACCTGCACCTGTTGTCCTTCATGAAGGGGTCAGAGGTCAGAGGAGGAGGACCAGGGCCTCGCCCCTGACACACTCCTCACTCACGTCCTCCGTCTCCCTAGCTGGCCTCCACGGAAGGCAGGCTGGAACGGAGCCACTTACACACAGGGGTGACACCTAGTGGCCAGTGTCCCCCACATGGGCCGAGAGCCTGTTAATCTGTCTGTGAGGAGGTAGAGACAGAGCAGGGCTCTTCAATTAATCAACAGGTCCCCAAGGTCATAGGAGTCAAAGAGGTCGCTGATGCCCTCACCCTCATCCATGCCCCACAGGTATTCGTCCTGGTCCAAGGGTGGGGAGAAGTTGATCAGCGGGGAGCTGGCGGCCAGGATTGGGGACAGGAACTGGTCCTCAGTCTGTTGCAGAAGTGGGTGAGACAGCTCCAGCATGTTGTCAGTGGTTTCCAAGGGGACAAGGGATGGTGCTGGTGGTGGCGGGACCGGCTGGGGCATCAGCACTGGTTTGGGAGACAAACAGACAAGAGTCATATCTGGCCCTGAGCACACAGGGTCATCTTCCAGCTCTCTGGCTGGCTGGCCCCTCCTCCATCTTTCCACACAATAGCATGGTGATGCCCTGTCTCTTCAGGCACCAAAGCCTCATTTTCCACTCTCCCCTCCCCTCCGCTGGGTGCAGAGGTCTGCTCCCAAAACCTACCCTGGGCTTCTGCACCCAGCCTACCCTGCTATATTGAAAGGCTGCTGCCGAAGCCATTTGCTAGTTCCTGCATTTCCAGCTTCCCTGACCCTCCTACATCATCACGGTATACAACACCCGAGAACTCCTATGTTTAAAAAGCATCCTCTCAGCGGTGGCGCACGCCTTTAATCTCAGCACTCGGAAGGCAGAGCCAGGCGGATCTCTGTGAGTTCGAGGCCAGCCTGGTCTACAGTGCGAGATCCTGGACAGGCAAAAAAAAAAAAAAAAAAAGCATCCTCCCGGGCTAAAGAGGTGGCTCAGTGTGCTGTGAGCAGAGGAGCTGAGTTCCCAGTGTCTACACCTGGCGGCTTGTAAAGGGTAGCTCCAGATCCAGGAGATCCAATGCCTTCCTCTGGCCTCTGTGGGCACTTGTATTCATTCATACACACATGCCCTCATACAAGTAATGAAAGATAAAATAGGGGCTGGAGAGATGGCTCAACGGTTAAGAGCACTGGATGCTCTTCCAGAGGTCCGGAGTTCAATTCCCACCAACCACATGGTGGCTCACAACCAACCCAAGCCTCACAATTTCAGATCCTGTATCTCAGAATGCCAGAGCCTGGACAGGTAGTAGAAGCTACTCTTATTCAAGCTCCTCCTATCACGAGGAAAATGAGATCACAAAGGGTTAGCAATTCCTCTGGAGAAGCCAGAACCTTAAAGCCAAGACTGTTAGACTCTCCACTCTGGGCCTGGCCTCTGGCACTCACACCTCAGAAATGATTCTACTTTGGGGCTAGAGAGATGGCTCCCCTGTTAAGAACACTTACTGCCCTTGAAGAGGACCCAAGTTTGGTTCCCAGAACCCACAAGGGGGCTCACCACTGTCTATAACTCCAGTACCAGGGATCTGGTGCCCTCTTCTGGCCTCTGCAGAGCACTGCATATATGTGGTGCATATGTATATACATAGAGGTAAATACACAATTAAAACACAAATTAAAAAATCTTTAAAAAGAACCACAAGCCGGGCGGTGGTGGCGCACGTCTTTAATCCCAGCACTCGGGAGGCAGAGGCAGGCGGATCTCTGTGAGTTCGAGGCCAGCCTGGTTTCCAAAGCGAGTTCCAGGAAAGGCGCAAAGCTACACAGAGAAACCCTGTCTCGAAAAACAAAAAAAAAGAAAAGAAAAAAAAAAAGTTAAAAGAATCACAAACAAAAACCTCTACTTCAAGCTGCTACATGGGGCCCATGTTTGCGCCTTTGTGAGTGAGTGTGCATGTAAGTGTGTCATGTGCACCTTCAGAACAACTTCCATTTCCTCCCTTCAGTGGACATAAAGTAGCAAGCAAACTGACTCCACCCTTGCCTGCCCTGGGTATTGGGGATTGAACCCAGAGCCTCAGTGGCTAGGCCCTATCCCTGACCTCCACCCCAGCCTCCGGGCTTCAGGTCTAACGCTAGAGAGCTGATGCGAAGCTTTTACCACTGTCTCCATGAAATGTCTCGGAGGACGGCTAATGCGCGGGTAGGTCTAACTCTGGAGAGCTGTGTACATGTTGACAGCTGAGCAAAGGGGGCAGAGTAACAGGAGGCATGACAGGGTGGGGCACAGGTCTGGCAAGAAAGATAGGGGACTGGGGAGGTGCCCAAAGGGACAGATGGCTGGCACACAGAGAAGCCCTGATCCCTGAACGACACATACAGGAGGGAGCCCGAGAGAAGAGTTAGGAGTCTGGGCTCTTGTCCAGCTCCACCATCAGCTTGCTGTGAGACCTGAAAGAAGCCACTTGCTCTCTCTGAGCTTTAGTTCAATCATGTAGAATGAGATCAGAGTCAATCAACTTCTGTAAAGGGCTGGACGGTATTTTAGGTTTTGTGGGACACATGTGGCCTCTATAACACAGTTGCCCTCTACCCAACTCTTTTATTTATTTATTTATTTATTTATTTATTTATTTATTTATTTATTTATTTATTTATTTATTTACTTACTATTTTTTAGATTTACTCATTTTATGCATACGAGCATTTTGCCTGCATGCATGTATGGCACCATGTGCATGCAGAGCCATCAGTGGTCAGAAGAGGGCGTCAGAGCACCTAGAACTGGAGTTACAGAGTCACCACGTGGGTGCTGGGACTGGCACTCAGGTCCTCTGCAAGAACAGCAGATGCTGTTAACAGCTGAGCCACCTCTCTAGGCCCTTCCCCAACTCTTGAAAAATGTAAAGACCAAGGCAGTGGGGTGCAGCTTGTGATGGGGTGTCTGCCTAGCATGTGCAAAGTCCTGGGCTCAGCTCCCAGCGTAACCACTAAAGACAAAGAAAAACAGAAGTTCAAAGCCATCATTAGCTCGTTAGCCATAGGAAAACAAGCCAGTTTTTTAACCCGCAAGGCTAGAGTGTGTCGACCTTTGTGTTAAAGAAACAGAAGCAACCTATGTCCTGTAGAGGATCACACCAGGCCTTTCCCGCCAGGCCAATCCCTGCTCTGTCTTTCTTTAGACACTAGGGTTTCCAAGATGGCTCACTGAGACAAGGTGCTTACAGCAGAACCTAGTGACCTGAGTTCAATCCCAGGACCCACATAATGGAAGGAGAAAGACAATCCTGGCAAGCTGTGGGCGGTACATGCAACACCACCAACAAACAAATGTAACAAAAATCAAACAAAAGTCGACTAGGGTTCTACTTAAGGAAATCCTGATCCAAAAAAAACAAGGTGGAATGCGGGTCCACATGACCCTGAAGACCGTGTTCATGTGACCTGGGGCAGAATCCCAGTAGAAGGCAAGGCCATTCCGCAGAGGTGGCTTCTGGCTCCACAGACTCATCAGCGGCACCCACCCCCTACTCCCCCACCCCCGGCCAGGTGTGGGCCCTCCAGCCAGGAGCCCTTCCTGCTGGATCCTGTGCCAGAGGACACAGCACTGGGTCCCTGTGGACCAAGGGTCGACAGAGCACTGTGCTGCCTCCAGCCGCCTGTCCTAGGCCAAACTGCGGCATCTCTCCATCTTGGTTTTCTAGCAGTAAACCAGGAGTAGTGAGATCTCCTCCAAGATGCGCTATGGATTGGGAGGGCCCAATATGGAGTCCTGGTGCAAACCACCCCCCAAAAAAACAAAAGACCACAATAAACCTAGCTACTGTCACCAGAGGAAGTTTTGAGCCTTCCTCTGGAAATCCCGAGTTAACCAGGTGTGGCGGCACACACTTAGTAATCCCATCACCAGGGAGGTGAAGACAGAGGACCTCAACTTCCAGGTCAGCTTGGGGCTAGAGACCTTGTCTCAAACAATGAAAAAGACCTGGGGACCTGGGGCCAGTGATATGGCATTGCAGGTAAAGGCGCTTGCCACTAAGTCTGACAATCTGAGTTCGATCCCTGGGACCCACATGGTAAGAGAGAAACAATTCCTGAAAGTTGTCTTCTGACCTCCACACCGTGTCTCGGCATGCACGTGCCACGAATCTACATACAACAATAAATAAATGTAAAATAAATATACAAATAAAACGTTTGTAAAGCGGCAACAAAGACTCAGGTTAGGGATGTGGCTCAGTTGGTAGTGTGCGTGCAGACTGTGCACAAAATCTTCTGGCATATCTGCACACCAGAAGAGGGCACCAGGTCTCATTACAGATGGTTGGGAGCCACCATATGGTCGCCGGGAATTGAACTCGGGACCTCTGGAAGAACAGCCAGTGCTCTTAACCTCTGAGCCACCTCTCCAGCCCCGTATCTGAATATTTTGCCTGCATGGATGTGCGTGCATCACGTGGGGAGTGTGTTCACATGCGCTTGAGCTCCTAGTGCTTGGGGGATGCCCAAAGAACGCCTTGGCTCCTCTGAACTGCAGTTATGGATGGTTGTGAGCCACCACGTGGGTGCCGGGAACTGAACCTGGGCCCTTTTGTTCTCTCAGCCATCGACCCACCACCGCCCAGCGGCCTCAGCTAATCTAACGGTATAAAAATATATTGAGACTAGAGACTTGGGATCTGGTTCCTTTCAGTGTCATTTTTTTTTTAATTAACAAACTCTGTATAATAAAAGTTTTAATTAAAAACTAAAAATGTTAAAAAACAAAACACAGGCTGAGGATGTGGCTCGGTGGTGAAGTGCTCTCTTCCCTGGGAAGCATGATGTCCTGGGTTCAACTCCCACACCACATACATGGCCCCCACTTACTGCGGCTTACTGAGCGCCGCGTGCTTGGCTGTGAGCCAGCCTGGCAGCGACTGTGGCAGGAGAAATGACACTTGCCAGTCACTGCCGGGTCAGACACTCGGCTCACATTAGTTCACTAATCCTTGTAACAAGCTGCGAGTTAAATATTAACGACTCTCGCCCAACCTACAGATAAGGAGGCCGAAAGCCGAAACCATCGAAGGCCACACAGCAGAGGGGATGCACGAAGTGCGGTGATCACATGTGGGGTCACTGGGCACGCTGGGTACCCCACAGATGCGGACAGGGGAGAGCAGAGCCCCTGCCCACCTCCCCTCCCGAGGAGCACGGTGCCTACCTGAAGACGTTACGGCCTCTGCGATCCCAGGGTCGGGGCTGCAGCTGGGCTCGGCGAAGTCAGGGACAGGGCTGAGGGTAGAGGTGGAGGGGAGGGCCTCCCTGGCAGGACTGTCTGGCTCCTGCACCTCCTCCGGGCACAGGTAGACTTCGATGGGCCCTTGGGTACTCTTGAGATAAATCTGCAGGTTGTCCTGTAGGAGGGAGAGGAACTATCTCACAATGCTGGACACAGACCCTCCAGTCAGCCGGTATGAACGGACACAGGTAGGACCACCCGGGTGAGCAAGCTCAGCCCCTGAACCTCACACTGTCCTCCCTACCCAGCAGGGAGAACCTGCAAGTCCCTTTGGAGGGAGGACACCCTGATTTTCCCTTGGGGAATAAGCCTCCGTAGGCCCTGCCATGAAGTTTGTGGAAGCGGCCTTCCAACTCCTGGGGCCCCACTTGTGACGCAGCTCGGAGAGTCCAGGGGTGCGTGTGTGGCCCCCTCAGGGTGTCACATGGCTGAGGTCAACCCAACCAGCATTAGGCCCCTCCCAACCGCGCATGTGTGGCGGCTAAGCTGTTGACACATGCGCTCTACCACAGGTGGGGAGCCCACTTGAGAACAGCACAGAGAGGTGGGCAGGGAAAGAGAGCACTGGACAGATGGGAACCGTGATTTGAGCCCCCGAATTAAACTTTGTCTCCAATCTCCAAAACACTGGGCTTGTCACTCGGTCTCCTCACCACAGGCTTAAACAAGTTGTACTTGGTTTCTCTACCCCGCCCCTTCCCACCATATCCCTACATAGGCCACAGTGACCACACACACACACACACACACACACACACACACACACACACGGACACGGACACGGACACGGACACGGACACACACACACACCACAGACACAGTCACAGACACACACACACCAAACACACCACACACTACACCATACACACACAAGTTCAGGTCTCCATGGATCACTTCACCTGGCAGGAATTCTTGTAGTCTCTGAGACTCAGTTTACCCATCACCCCAAGGATGCTTCCTCTGTCCTTTTTAAGCACATTTTCAGCCAAGTAACAGACCTATTGCCTGGGTCCTGAGCCGAGGGGCGGGGCTTTCATTACCTCTGTAGTATGGGTTCCTTCAAACACATCATCTCGGGATTCCTCCATATGTGCCACACCCTGACAGAAGCTGGGCAGCCCATTCTTCTGTAAAGCTTAAGCCCCTCACAGGGGCTGGCATCTAGCCCAGCTGGTGGAATGCTCGCTAGCAGGTCTGAGGCCCCGGGTTCCACCCTGGCATCACCTAAACGAGTGATGTCATGCATGCCTATAATCCCAGTATTCTGGAGGCAGAGGCAGAGGGTAAAAGTTTCAAGGTCATCTCTGGTTACACAGTAAGTTTGCAAGGAATCGTGTCAAAGATGGGCCAGAGAGCAGAGATTTGGTACGTTTAAAAAAAAAAAAAAAAAAAAAGGGAAGATCTAGTCTGGGGTTGATGAGGAAGGAAATGACTCAGTCTCAAGCTGAAACCTGAGGATGGCTAGCAGTGCACCAGGCAGGGAGGAGGAAGTACCTTTCAGAGGTCCACATGTGCAAAGGCCCTGCACTGAGGAAGGACTCAGTGTAGCCGAGACTGGCTTAGGAGAGGGACTGGGTGGAGCCCTTTGGGCTCAGAGCACCAAAGCCTTCTTAAGGAGTTTGAAGGATTTTGGTTTGGCGTTGGAGACACGGCTCAGTGGTTAAGAACACTGGCTGCTCTTCCGGAGGACCCAGATTTGACCCCCAGCACCCATAGGGCAGCTCACAACAGCCTGGAACTCTAGTTCCAAGGAGATCCAACACCCTCTTCCGGCCCCCACAGGCACTGCATGCATAGTATACAGACAACAACATATGCAGGCGAGACACCCAAACATATAAATAAAAATATACATCAATCTCAAAAAAAAAAAATTAATTTTGTTCTCGGAATAGGGAGGTCGATCAACAGGAAAAGCCCCTGCTGCCAAGCCTGATGGCACACAGGAAAAAGTGACTCCCACTGCTTGTCCCCTGACACACACACACACACACACACACACACACACACACACAGGTGGTGGTGGGGGACTAACTAGACAAATAAAAATTTAAAACTTAAAAAAAAAACTTGCTCTTGTACCAGAAATGGTGATGCCCTGTCTCCAACACCAGCATTTAGGAGGCAGAGGCAAGAAGATCATGAATTTGGGACTAGGCTGGGCTACACAGTGAGTTTAACATCCACCTGATCCACACAGAGAGGCCCTGTCTCAAAAAGCCGAGGGTACAGGTACAGCTCGGTCGTGGAGAAAGTGCAAGCACATGACATGCAAGGCCCCGGGTTCCACCCTCAGCACTGAAGAAAAACTATTTCCATCTTGTGCCTGAGAACATGGTCAGCAGGTGAGGGGTCTTGTGAGGCCCAATCTGCTTCTGTGGGGACACAGGTCATGCACACAGGAACCCACGAAGAGGGAATGTAAAGAAGAAGAAAATCTCTGCAAAACCAGAGCCTTCCTCAGGCCAGTCTCCATTTTTCTTCTCAGTTTCTGCCACTTGTGCCCTAGACCCCAGGATGGACTAGCGGAGCTGGGGCTGGCAGTGCCAAGCAGACGCTGCAGAGCTACCCAGGGCCTCCCCACACCCTTCTCCATCTAATGTCTCCCAACTCACCTCCGCCCTGTCCGGCACTTCCAATCTTGTCTGTGGAGGGGCCTTGACAGCAATCACTGTCTGCTCCTTGAAGTTGCCCACAGCACGGATGTCCTGGTAAGTCACATAGGCCAGTGTAGGGGCAGGAAAGTTAAGAAGAGCAACTGCCTTGTCAAAATGCACACCCCTGGCCTGCCAAGGGGCTTTTATCTCCTCTCCTAAGCCTCTGAATATCACATCCTCACACGTGATACAGTTCAGAAAAAAACTGCAAATAGCCATAACCTGTTCTTTGAATAGCACAAGCCATCTTCCATGCCGATGGAAAACCAACAGATTGCATACCCATGTCTAGTGTGGCTATTTGCAACCACCAGGAAATCGGATCGGCTTAGGTGCCCATCAACAGATGAATGGAAGCTGAAAATATGGTACAGACTCAACAAAATAATTCAGCATAAAGGAAAATGAAAATAGGAAAATATTACATGAAGCCAGGTAACCCAGGCTTGGAAAGACAAACACTGGCCAGACAGTGGTGATGTATGCCTTTAATCCTAGCACTTGTAAGGCAGAGGCAGGCAGATCTCTGAGTTCAAGGGCAGCACGGTCTACAGAACAAATTTCAGGACAGTCAGGGCTACACAAAGAAACCCTGTCTCCAGCAACAATAACAACTATACACACACACACACACACACACACACACACACACACACACACACACAGCCAGGCATTGCAGTTCACAGCTGGAATCCCAACACTTTCCTAAAGAGGCTGAGTCAGGAGGATTGCCATGAGTTCAAGGCCAGTCTAGGCTACAGTATAAGACAAAAAAATGGAACTCTAGGGCTGGGGATGCAGCTCAGTTTGTAGACTGCTTGCTCAGCATGCATAAAGCCATGGGTTCGAACCCCAGGACCACATAAACTGGGCATGGTAGTGTACATCTATAACTCCAGCACTCAGGAAGTAGAAGCAGTGGCTGTGTTGGTGGGGGAGTGGGGTCAGAGAGGAAAAATGGAAGTAGATATGATCAATGTATACATGCATGAAATTGTCAAAGTACATAAAAGGAGAGGAAAAGAAAAAATATAAAACAGAATCTATGGGTTGGTGAGATGCCTCAGAGTAAAGACACTTGCCCTCAAGCATGACAGTTTGATCTTTGGGACCTCGATGGAAGAAAGAACCGACTTCCACTTGTCCTGACCTCCACACATGTGCCACAGCACAATGTGCCCCCCCAATAAATACATGTAATTAAAAAAAGAAAAGACGTTAAAACTAAACAATAAATTAAGACTGGAAATCTCAGCTGGCTCCAAAAGCCATTCTAGCCCTTATCAACACAACACAGTGGGCACCAGGCATGATACCTAAATCTTTGGGCAGGATCTCACAAAAGAAAAAAACAAAACGGGCCGGAGAGATGGTTAAGAGCACTGGCTGCTCTTCCAGAGGACCCAAGTTCAATTCCCAGCACCACATGGGGGCTCACAACCATCTGTAATGAGATCTGATGCCTGCTTCGGGCATAAAGTTGCACATGCAGATAGAGCACTCATATATATATAAAACAAACAAATAAATCTTTAAAAAGGAAAAAACGAAGGAAGGAAGGAAGGAAGGAAGGAAGGAAGGAAGGAAGGAAGGAAGGAAGGAAGGAAAGAAAGAAAGAAAGAAAACACCCAAATTCCCCTAAGCTTGAGAAGGAGATACAGATAGGACAATCCCCTGGAGGAGGGGTAAGAAAGGAGGTAAGAAATCAACTGAGTGTAGATTTCAACAGCCAGCAGCCCTGCCCCCTCCCCCTTTCCCAGCTCCCTGCAGAAAGGATATTTCTTGTTGGCGTTATCTTCCGTCAGGTGCTTGAAGGTCTGGGAGCAGCTCTGGATGAGCTGGTCCAAGGTCTGCTCCGCGTTCATCAGTTCCTTCAGCTCCTGGCCCAGCTGCTGCTGCTTCGCAGGTCGGGTGGGGTCTTCAAATATTCCCCTGCCTCTGGGAACACAGCAGCCCCCGATGTCAGTGCCCGTCCACATTCACCGTCCCTACCCTCAGGGTTGCCCTGCACAGCTGCATGGCGGAGCTCGTGAAACTCCAAGCCAGGGTGAGTCTCCAGCGGTGCCCATGCCACGTCGTGCATGCCAGTGGTGGTGCCTAGCTCCCTGGGAACTGTCATGGATCAGCACTTGAAGTTTGGTTAGCGATAAGAAGCCTGAGCCCCAGGGTCTAGCCTTATGCCACTGCCTCCACGAGATGGAAAGGAACTATTGACTTTAGCCCTGGCCCCGCTTCGGAGTTTCCTTTAGGGTTCATGCCAGGGTTCTTTCAGACCTTGTAGCTGTAGGGAGGAGTCTGACCCACACCTGTGCAGCTCCCAAGAGGCTTTCCTAAGAGGGGGGGTCCTAGGGACCCGGACACACGGAGCCGGGGTCCTCTCAGGCCTTTACAACCCCCAGAACTCCTCCACTAGGTCCCTTTGCTCTGGCTGCGATTACTCCAGCATTTAACTCCTGTCCCATCCCACTCAAACACACTGGCTATGCCCCTCCTCAGAGACCTATTGGTTGGCTTTGGCCACCTACCACCACCACCCTGTACTTGTACATTGCTTGTTGCTGGGGAGGGCACTCTAAAAGTCACGCTCATTGGCTACTGTTCCTGGCCCCGCCCCCGACACATGCACCCATTGGATGGCGCCATGGCCTGGCCCAGGCACTCACACCCACTGGATGTTGTTTTTGGACTTCTTGCGGATGAGCTGGATGCCCTCCAGCACGTTGGTGATGTCATAGATGCGTCGCTTCTGCACATCCAGCACTTCGGCTGCCCAGTTCAGGTCCAGGACCCCATCCTCCGACTCGCTCAGGAGGTAAATGAATTTCTTGGTGAGCAGCCCCAGCGACGTGTCATAGCGTGTCTTCTCCCCAGGAGACTTGGGGGCTGAGGAAGCAAAGGTCCCACTCACACGCTGCTCTGGGGGAGCCAGCGTGGGTTCGCTCCAGGCGTTCAGCTCCATGAAGCAACACCTTCTACCCCCCTTCACCGAGAACTGTCCAGCGCGCGGAGCACCCAGGCAGGGGGTTCTCCACGGCCGCACAGACCCGGGACCTGTAACCTCGGAGGAAAGAGACTTGCTCCAGGTCTCACCGCCAGGGGGCGCTGCAGAGACCGGAAGCGAAGGGTGGCCACTCCGGGTTCAGAGTACCTTTCCACCCTAGCCACAACTCCAACAACTGTTGGGAGGGTCACCGTTCTGGGCACTTCCCTTAAGCGAATACCCTACAGGGGTGTACAGAAGCCCAGACTGGCTGAGTAATTGCTTCGTTTCACCGAGCAAGTGGCAAACCAGGATTCAAATGCGGGCAGTTTGGCTCCAGCCTTCCCCCTAAACCATTATCCTCTCCTACCAATTATACCAGGAATTAGGAATTGTGGTTGGGAGGGAAGGACAAGCCTGGATGTGAGAACATTTTTATAGATCCACACTTGCCTTTTCTTTCCAGGTGTAGCCCAATAATTATCTGAGGGGAATCATCTAACATCAAACATCAAATGGACCAGGTTCATGGAAAAGGTCCCTTTCTCAATAAGGCTGAGGTTGCAACACCACATCTCAGCTGCAGCGAATTAAACCACAAGGGAACTTTTGCAATCAAATGACTTTAAGTCACATAGAAGCTGGTGGCCACACTAATCATGGGAACTAAGTTTTAGTCTCAGATCCCTCAAAAGGGGGACTTGAGAATCTCTGAACACACCGAGGCCAAGCATTTGGCACACAGGCTGCTTAGTGCGGTTTTGTGTCCATGGCAGACATTAATAGTTGATCAGTGTATTATGCTCTGTAGTCCTACAGAGTTTTGGAATCCTGTGCCTTGTCTGCATGAGATAACGAGGGTTCACAGAAAAAGGTGAACCAGTCAAGTCACGTGGGATCCCTTACCTGGATCCCCAATTCCTGACCTTCACGCAGTCTACCTAGTTGTATGCGCTCATTAGACCTCTGGGGAAATTCATATAACTCCTGGACACGCTGGCTTTAATTCCCAGTTTAACCAGAATATTGACTGAAAATCTCAACGGTAGGAATTCTTCTGACTCAGCTTTAGGGAGGCACTAGCCAGACAGCCCCGAGACCTTCAGGTGGCACAGGCTGGATTAGTCCAAGCTTCAGTTCCCTGCGAATCAATTAGCACTGTCTGCAAGTGAGCCGCTAATCCTCCCAGAGCTCTCTTGAAGAAAAGGTCAGATTAACCCAACTATGAAAACTTAATTTTTTTTAAGTTCTTAGATCAACACTGGTGATTGTGGTTAGCTCTGGGGAGCAGGTACCTAGTGTACAAGTAGTCTGGGACATTAGTCCTGATTCCACTGACTAGCTGTGTGACCTTGGCCAAGTCCTGAGTTCTTCCAAGTTGCCTCATCAGTAAATGGGACACAGTCCTACCTACTGAACAGAATCAAGTGTGAGAATACACCAGAAACCTTAGGAAAGGAAACAGTCTGAAACAGACTTCTGAGCTGGTGTCTTGGGTACGGCTGTTGCCTCCTGCCCCATGCCACCCTGCTGTAGGTGCCCTTCAGAAACTCTTACTTTTGGGGCTTGGTAAACCATCCACTCGGATGCACTTCCCCTTGGGAGTCCGGAATTCAGGGATCGCAGGCCTCCCAATGCCCTCCAGATCCAGCTTCCTCTTGGCCTTTGACAGACAGGAAAGAGGGGAGGAGGGAGAATTAGAGAACTGGGTCTTCCTTAGCCTCTTCCCTGAACTGCAGCGAGGCCAAGGAGCCCACCAGCAGCCACCTCCCGTGTGTTTGCCCTCAGCCCTCGGGACAGCGTGGCTGGCTGAACTTGGTGAGGAAATGTCAATGCCCATCGAAGTGAGTGCCATATTTTCTGAGTGGCAAATAAAATCACCATCTCTTGTGTCCCGGCCCCTGGAGGCATCTACCAATGAAACACACACTTGGAGGGAGCAGTGGGCGGGACCTAAACCACATCAGGCTGCCTTTCAGAAGCAGCTGGCTCAGACAGACCTGGTGCCCATCACAGCCCCACAGCTGGCCCTTATCAGGGTGGGACCAGCATCCGCCCAGGCCCAGGGGACTTCCTGGCTCAGTGCCACACCCCAGGGAGGTGCCCACATTGAGAAACAGTGCAAACACCCCCCCTTCCCCATTTGGGCTCCAGCTTGAGGGTCCAGGGCCTCCTGAATGGGCGGCTTGTCATTCTCTTTGCTGAGACACAATGAGTCCTCCCCCCGCCCTGTGTCTTAAGGACAAGCAGCTGAGGCCCTGCTGCCCCTCCCCATTCCCGCCAAGCTTGGGAAACACCTGCTGGGGAAACCAAACCACAGCCCATCTGCTCCTTCCTACCCAGACACCACCCACTACCACCACCACAGGGCCACAATGAGGCTTCTTCTAGCTGCATTGCCCGGAAAGGGCCTCCCTGATGGTTAGGGCTGGGCAGGGGTGGGGCAGGGGCACTGGGGCACTGGGGCACTGGGCAAAGAGCCAGCTGGACTCTCCAGCACCTTTGAAGGCTCACTGTATGACCTAGGGACATGTCCCGCCATAGCTAAGAGCCTCAGTTTCCTGCTCCATAAAATGGGCAGAACATCATGACCTGGAAGGCTACGGCAAGGACTTGGGAGTGACTTCTGTGGAGTTCTTAGGACTAGATACAGTAGGGGCTCAGGAAATGCACAGTCCCTTCCCCAAACACGATCTCAACATCTTCCTGGACACACCCTCCGGGGCCATTGAGCCGGCTTCCTTCCTTCCCTGTCCCCCAGACACCCCCACTCACTCGAGAGGTCTGTTTTAACACTTAGTGGTGAGGTCACGCTCCGCAGGGCTGAGCCTTCTAACTGCTGCTGAGCACAGCTGTCTTGACAGGTGTCAGCTCCCCTCCCCGACTCCTGCCCCCTCCAGGAAGTCTCCCTGGACTGGTACGAGAGTTCCGTTCACTGCTCCCAGGAGCCTGAGCGTCTCTCCCCCCACCCCATGCCAAGGCTCAGACAGAATCCAAACCCCTGCTTGTCACCTGCCTGTCAGCTGACCAACAATCCTAGACTCCAGGGGGGCTAGCCCCATCTTGTCATCAGAGAAGGGCCCTGTCAGTCACCCGCTGAGCCCTGCTACAGTCTAAGCTAAGTTCCAGCACTTGGCTCTAACCGAGCTCCCAGCACCGCCGGTACCCACTGCACAGCTGTTGTAATCAAGGCCAGGTGGGCTCCACAGACTTTGTCTTGAGCAAAACGGTTCGCTCCAACCCCCTCCCACCAGACAAGGACAGGGGGACAAGGGCACTGGTCAAGCCAAGTCCCAGCTCATCCCATACTCCCAAGCCATCAGAAGGTCACTGGCCTCCTGCAAGGCAGGCGGCAGGAGAGGACCCTGAGCAGCCAGCCTAGCACATCTCTCAGTCCTGAGGTGGGTCTGCACTGGCAATCTGTCTTGGCAGACAAGTGGATACAGGTTAAGTTACAAGGCAGGCCTAAAGTCACACAGACAAAAGCCGGGCCGGGGTTCGAACCCAGGTCTGACCAACTCCAACGCCCTGTGCCAGGCTCCATGAGCCATCCGCATCCACTCCCTCGGGAATTGCTGGAATGTGGGCCAAGGTCTTGCTGTGTCATCTGCTCCCATCACTTAAGACTGTTTCCCCTTCGGTCCCCCTCCCTCCCTACCTCCAACATGACTGCACTCCCAGGGTCCCTAAGTAGCAAAGTGTCCCCACCTAAGGACACCAGCCCAACACCCTTGGGTACTACCCAAAGAAGAGTCACCGTGTGGCGGGGTTGAGCCTGCAGAGGCCGGTTGGCAGAAGACAAGCTCCAGGAGAGGCTGAGACCGCAGGCCTTGGGGTCAGATGGGGTCAAAGCTAGTCTTCTCCCTCCTTAGCTCGGTGAGCTGGGAGGTCAGGTGACCTTGACCCACCTATAGAGTTGGGCCAGTCTGCTCCTGCTGAGAGTCAGAAAGTGTACTCTGCCCCAGCAGTGCCAGGCCTCCCTCCCTCAGGCAGGGGTGTCACCCTCCCTCAGGCAGGGGTGTCACCCTCCCTCAGGCAGGGGTATCACCGTGAGTGAAGATCAAGGGTGAACAAAGCCGAGGCAGCAGGGGCTAAAGATCTGTGACCACACCCAGAGGCCAGCGTGGCTCTGATCTGGACCCTCGGAAACAGCCCCTGGTTAGGATTTAACTCCAGGCGCCAAGCCCTCAAGGGTAGGACACACCCCTTGCTCAGGCAGCCCCAGAGGAACTGGCAAGGCCAAGCAAGGGAGCAATCGGGTCAGAGAGGGAAGGGACTTGCCCAAGGTCACACAGCAGGGACCTGGGTCTCCTTTCCAGCCTCGTCAGGCACTGGGGTGGGAGCAAATTTAAGGATCACTTTGCTGTCAGCTCCAAAGTTCCATGACAGCAGGACAGCCTGGGGCTGGTCACCCTACCCCTGAGCCTATTTGTCATCCTCTAGCCTGGTGTCAGCAGAGTTAAAAATGAGTGAGTGAGGAGTGAGTGAGTGAGTGAGTGAGTGAGTGAGTGAGTGAGTGTGTGTGTGTGTGTGTGTGTGTGTGTGTGTGTGTGTTCAGCTTACATTGGAAAGGCTGAGGCAGGATCTTTTTTGTTTATCTTGAGACAAGGTCTCATTGTGTACCCCTGGCTGTCCTAGAACTCTGTGTAGACCAGGCTGACCTCAAACTCACAGAGATCCACTCTGCCTCCGGAGTACTGGAATTAAAGACCCAAGCCACCAGGACCTGCTGGATATCTGTAACTTTCAACAATCTTCCTGCCTCAGTTTCTCCAGTGCTAGGACTACAGGAGTGTATGTGTGCCCAGCTTAGCTGGATCATTTGAGCCTAGGCATTCAGGACCATCCTGGCAATAGTGAGATCCTATCTCAACAACAACAACAAAAGCCAGGTGTGGTGGTGCATGCCTTTGATCCCAGCATCCAGGAGGCAGAAGCAGACAGATCTCCGAGGCCAGCCTGGTCTACATAGTGAGTTCCGGGACAGCAATGTGAGCAGTATAGACAAATGAAGAGGCAAAGAAAAACACCAAAGAGCCCCATTGTCCTCCCAGAAACCAGCTTGTGGGGCTGATAGAAAAATACTATGAACCTGGCCAGAGGTGAGACTCCACAAGGAGTGGTCCTCGATCTTTTCTAGAGGATAGCAAGAATGATGGGCAGGAAGCAAGGAGACCCGAGTCCTGGCCTTACTTCTGCAACTCAACTTGGTTACCATCCCTTTAAAGGCCAGCTCCCCAACAAATCTTGCTCACCCCACACTTTGCAGCCACAAAGCAGAAAGCCACACCCAAGGTTGGGTTGGAGCAGCTCCAGGTCACACCCTTGTAAAATGAGTAAGCAGGGGGTTAGGCCGGCCCATGGGGTGCTGGGGCCCCAGCATCTGGAGACGGACCAGAGATGGGCTCTGGGCCTGGCAGGCCTTTAGGGAGTCTGACGCAAGGACACCCCCACTTCTTGGCTTGTGACTTGGGCATGTGACCTCACCTCTGCTCAGTTTCCTCACCTGCAGAGCGCCCCATCCTGAGCATCTTAACTGAGATAACTGACGAAGAGTGCCAAGCAGGGCCTGGCATGCAAGGGCTGCTCTGGCTAAGATCCCTGAGCCCGCCCTGGGAGGGCAGAACAGACAGATGCGGGGTTGGTGGGGAGGTCCAAAGCGGGTCAAAAGCCCAGCTGCTACTGACACTCTACATCCAAAAGCAGGTGGCCAAAGGAGAGATTAGCCTGCCACAGAGTCCCCTTTCCTGGGGCCACCTAGCTCCAAGGCTGCATGGAGAGAGCTGACTTGTAGGTCCGGTCACTGGACCCATCTCCCTGTGTGACCTGTGGTCACTCAGTTTTCCCACCTCTGTGACATGAAACGTCTGTTCAATCTACTTCACAAGCTACATGAATGCTCCACACCAGAGAAGGCAAGACAAAGTTATCCTCGTCATCCTGACCTGTAAAATAGGGATGACATGCAGCCCTTCCTGCCTTCCTGCCCTTCCAGGAAAGGGATCTGGGAAGATAAAACACAGCTTGACTCCAAAGGCAGAAAGTGAGGCTCTCTCTGCCTGTGGCCAGAGAGTTGATCCTTGTAGCCCCCAAGATCACTGAGCCCCGAGCTCGCCCTGGGAGGGTAGGACAGACAGAGGCACAGGCCATCCAGAATGTCCAGGGGAAAAGGGATGCTCCTATCCCTGTCCCCAGATGTACCAGACTCTACAAATACCCTCTCCCCTCCCAGGCACCCACTTCCCAAACCTGAGCTGGAAGTGACAGAGGAGATAAGCCAAGAAAGGTGCATTTTCTAGAAGAGGAACTAAAGCTGTCAGATGGTTCAGTGGGTAAAGGAGCCACCAAGCTGGACACCTTGCGTTGGATCCCCAGGACCCACTCGGAAGAAAATAACCATCTCTGAAAGTCGTCTCTGACCTCCACACAGTGCGGCACAAACAGTCCCCTCCCCCACATAAATGTAATTTTAAAACTTTTTAAAAGAGGAAACAGAGGCCCTGACTTATCCTAATATCCAGTGATGATCAGGAGCTGAAATGCAGCTCCCCGACCCTCACGCCACCTCCCCAGGCCTTTTCCCGGTTCACTTCCACTCTCGGGTTGCCCTGTGCTACAGCCCAAAGCCACCACACCAGGTCTTCCTTCACAACAGATCTGCAGGACCCAGGAGGACACAGTCCAACTGAACAGGAACTCCAAGAGACTAACTACATTTGCATCTGCTGCTGGCTATTTCGGAGGATGACCAGGCTGTGGGGAGGGCCTGGGGACAACACTTGAGAAGGAGCGGGCTAGACCACTTTGTCCATACCAGGCTGGACCAGAGACCTACCCTCCTGTCACCAGGAAATCCCACAGGCCAAGCCCCTGGCCTGGAATGGCAGGTGCTGGTTTCTGGTGTAAACAATGAAGGAATGAATGAACTGTAGCAATGTCTATGCCTTGTGGACTCTGTCAAGGTCACACTGGCTCTCAGCATTGGTCTGGGTCTCCAGGCTCCCAGTCCAGTGCTCATTACACTCCCCAACAGCAGGTGAGATGGTTATTTCATGCAGTAGGAAAACGAAGGGGTTCTCCCCACTTGCCCACCTCAACCAGCTGTACTCAAAACTGAACCCCAAGCGGCCGCCTTCCTTTTCCCCCACCCAGACACGCATATGGGAAGTACCGGGGGTCCCCAGCATTACCGGCAGCCGGCCTGCGGGCACACATCGCACAATCTGGCCTTCGGGTCCGTGGGGAGTGGCGTCGAGGCAGGTGCCCAGCGCCGCAGCGGAAGGCACCGTCTGCGTGTAAAGCGAAGTGTAGTAGGTGGTGGTGCTGGTGGTGGCGGTGGCCGGACAGAGCTGGGGGCTGCTGAGACCGGCAGGCCACAGCGGCTCGGTGGGGTTCAACGCGGGCGAGCTCTTTGTGGGCTGCGCTGTGGCCGGAGCCAGGGTCCGCGGCGCGCGCAGCATGGCGAGTGCGGCGCCCCCTACCCACCCGGGTCTGGCGCGCGCGCGCGGGGCACCTGCGGGCTTTGCAGCCGGCTGCGCCGCGGACGCCGGGAGCAGCCGCCAATGGACGCCCGCGGGGCAAGGCCGGACCCTCCCCTCCTGGCCCGCCGCCCAGAGCTGCCGAGCTCGGAGATCACCGCTCGGAGATCGCGAGGCGCGGTGCCACTGCCAGGGGCTGGCCCGGCCGGGCCTGCGCCCCGAATGTCTGGGCGCCGGCGCGGGAGAGCGTCCCCGGATGCCCACGGACCCCGCGGACACGCGTGTGCTCTGACCCGCGAGGGGTGTCTTGCACGCCCCGCTGAGCTCTCTGCTTGCCCTCTAGTCTCCAGCCCTTGCTCGGTCTCCTTTTTCTTTTCTTTCTTTTTTTTTTCCCTTTCTTTTCTTTCTTTTTTTTTTTTTAGCGCCAAACTACGTGCCGCCAAATTCGGATCTCCCGCGGAAAATGCTGCGCTTCGATTGGCTTCTACAACATATACAGGCTCCACCCTCCTACCCGCCCCCGGAAAAGCTTAGTCTAAGAAACAACGATTACAACAGGAGCTTCGTGGCTTAAAGGGGCCGCAACATCTGCCGACTTCAGTGTCCTCTTGGCTCTAACAGCCAGCGAAGTTGAGGCAGGAGGGGCACCTGGGACTCCCAGTATCGTGACCTACAGAACAGCGAATAGCGCTGAGGAATGGGCCCCCGTTCTTTGAAGGTGGGGCCCAAACCCTTGAGGAAAATCAGAGTCTGGATCTGAGCCTTGACCCTCAGTGCATTTCCCAGGCCACAAGAGCTTTTGCTCATTTGCATTGTTGCTTAGGTAGATTATATCCATTTATTAATATATTAATTAATATAACCAATATATCCTCCTTTCTCTTCAAACGAAAGCCCGGGCACCTGTTCCTTTAATTGGCAGAGGGTCAGGAAAGGGTGGAGCCTCCCATTTACATTTCTTCTTCAGGAAGAACTAATTAACATCTATTGAGAGCCTACTGTATCCCAGTACAGTACACCGAGATCAGACCATAACATGTGTTATGTTGTTTAATTTACCCCACCAATCCTGAGAAGCGGGATGGGTAAAGCTAGAGAGTCGGAGGGGTGGGGTAATTCGCCCAGGGTCATTCACAGATTTGCTGATCTGAGAGTTGGCAGTCAAATCTAGGACAGTCCAGCTCGGTGTCCTTGTTTGTTCTAGTAAAGGCTCCTCCTGGACTCTCCCAAGCTCTGTCCTGCCCTTGGCAGGCACAGCAGGATGGGGTCCAGAGTCTGTCAGGGACACTCTTTTCCCCAGGACCCAGCACTCTCACGAGTTAAACACCTCCAGGTTTCTCCTAAACAATTACTTCATAAACTTCCCTTGCTGATCATCCACGTACAGTCACATCTCTCGAGTTTAAAGAGGCTGGAAGAGTGTTGGCTGGCGGGACCATCAGCAGGTGCTGGCCTGTTCAAGGTCAGCTGGGTGGTTTTGGTTTTTTGTTTTTCTTTTCAGGTTTGGGCCTTGGCACTCAAAGCCCTCCAGAGTGAGTCTCCAGCTTAAAACCTCCTTAGGTCGTAAGGAATCAGGCAGTCGAGGCTTTGCTCCCCAGCATTCCTAATTTCATACCTTAACCCTTTTACCAAAGCCGTTTGACAAGATTTCTCAATTCTCTGGGTCTTGTTTTTCTCATCGCTAATAACACCTCATAGGATCACAGAGAAATCTCATGAGATCATACGTGCAAACTTTTCTGTACAGAGCCTCGAGAACTGGCAGCTGTGGCCACATCAGACATTGTCTCTGGAACACAGATGTCTTTAGTCTGCGGTATTTCACCAGGCAGTGGCAGCCCATGTCTTTAATCCCAGCACTCGGGAGGCAGAGGCAGGCAGATCTCTGAGATGGAGGCCAGCGTGGTCTACAGAGTGAGTTCCAGGACAGCCAGGGCTACACAGAGAAAGACCAATAATAATACCAACAATAAAATTGTTTACTGGTCCTTCAAGCCCAGTTTAAACCTCTCCTCCTCCAGGAAGCCTTCCCTGCCTACTTCCCCTCTTTCATCCTGAAGGCCTTTTACTCTCTTTGAATATTTATTGTGCCCTGCCTCAAGCAAGACTTGGCTTTCTTGCCTTGTAAATCACTGCATTCTAAGCTCCTTCAATGATCTCTGTCAAATCTCCCCTTGAATGGGGCTAGGCTTGGCATGCAGAAAGTGTCTAATAAATATTGATTATGACTTGTTCATGTGTCCAGCAAAGAGAGGCAGCAATGAGTAAGATTTGAAATCAGAAAGTCGGGGGGTCCCTCACAAAGTCCTACATCCTAGCCGGACAACCTTGGGCAGCGGTTGCCCGACCTCTTGGGACCTCCTTTGCCCCAGCCACCCGATACAGATAAAGCTGCCCCTTAGCTTGTGACCAAGATCTTCCAAGGCATCATTCCTGTGACAGTGCGAACGATGGCCACTGGTCTGTATCGAGAGTCCACTTCATGCGCTGCACCTCCAGCCTCTCTGATCCCCACAACACACCGCACTGTTATTATCCCCATTCTACAGACGAGGGAGCCGGGAAGGAATTGTGGCTGAGCAGGTTTGCAGCAGAAGCAGGGCCCCAGGGCCAGGGAGGGAAATGGGGGTGGCTGGGTGGGGCTGGGAGAGAAGAAGGGAAGCCAGCAGCCAGCGAGGGGGCCCAGAGCCAGTTCTCTGTGGTTGAGTTTCGGGTAGTTGGGGCTGGCTTTGGAGTTTCACTGCCTGGGAACGGATGGATTCCTGCGGGAGGTGTGGGCGCAGAGGCAGGCCTCCCTCAGCTTGAATCCTTGCCCTATCCATGCTTCAGGTTGGGATCTAAGCGTTGGTTCTTACACCTTTGAAGCTGGACCACAAAGTGGCCCTTCCATTCAGTATCTGGGATGCACCATGTGTTGAATAAGGGATTCACAGAAGGGCGCTGGGCGCATAGTAGGTACTTGAGGTAAACACCTAGCTGTGCGCTTACATGCTTATTTTGTTGTTTGGTTGTGGTGGTGCTTTTGAGATAAGGTCTTGCTATGTAGCCCTGGCTAGCCTCTGACTCGCTAGATAGACCAGGCTGGCCTTTCACTCACACAGATATGCCTGCCTCTGCCTCCCAAGTCCTGGGATTAAAAGCATGTGCCATCAGCCAGGCAGAGTGGTGAACGCCTTTAACCTCAGCAGCTGGCAGGCAGAGGCAGATGGATGGATCTCGGTGAGTTCGAGGCCAGCTTGGTCTATCTAGAGAGTTCTAGGACAGCCGGGACTATATAGTGAGACCTTGTTTCAAAAAACAAAAACAAACAAAAAAGCATGTGCTGCAATGCTTATTTTGTTGAAGCCTCCCAATTACCTTAGAACAGGTACAATATGAGCACAAGAAACTGAGGGTGACCCATGTAAGCCAGTGGTTCTCAATCTTCCTAATGCTGTGACCCTTTAATACGGTTCCTCGGATTGTGGTGGCCCCCAACCATAAAATTATTTTCGATACTACTTCAAAACTGTAATCTTGCTATTGTTATGAATCATACTGGAAATATCTGTGGTTTTCAATGGTCTTAGGCGACCCGTGAGAAAGGGTCGTTTAACCCCCACCCAGAGGGCTACAACTCAAAGGTTGAGAACCGCTAACGTCAAAAGATTCGACTAAAGGTTGCTTGAAGATGAAGTCAGGATCAAACTTGGATCTCTGTCTCCCAAGGCACTAAGATATATTTTTAAAGATACATTTACTTTATGTGTATGATTGCTTTGCTTGCATATATGTTTGTGTGCCACATGCATGCTTGGTGCCCAAGGAGGTCAGAAGAGGGTGTCTGGTCCCCTGCAACCAGAGTTATTGATGGTTGTGAGCCTCCATGAGGGTGCTGGGAATTGAACCCAGGTCCTTTGCAAGAGTAACAGTGCTCTAGACTACTGAGCCACCTCTCCAGAGCCATACACTAAGGACACTGAATGAAGGACCGGTCTCAGAAATCCTTGCCTTGCCAATGAGCCAGGGTCCCTGGGCTGCAGACATTGCCGGCAGTGGAAAGAGTGGACCCAGGCTGGAAGTGGTGTTTCACACCTGCAGTCCCAGCACTTGGAAGGTGGAGGCAAGAGCAGTGGTTCCGGGTTAGCCTCGACTACATAGTTTTAGGCCAGCCTGGACTATATGAGACCCTGTCTAAAAACAAACAAACAAACAAATAAAAATATGCTCACAACTGGGTAAGTTAGGGATGCTTCCAACCATTTTCCAGATGATGAAAGGGTGACTTGGGGCACTAAGGACCTGCTTGAGGTACACACTGATATAACAAAGCCCTTGTCCCAGCCAGGCACAAAGAGCCTTGGGAGATTCCCCAAGCCAATGCAAACTTCCATCCTCCTGTCTGTCATCCCTGGTGTGTCTTCTGACAAATATCTCAACAGATGCCTCTGCTCAAAACCCTGTTTATCAAAGCCTAAAATATTTGGTACAGGTTTCCCAGAGAGCCAGATGTGGTGATTCACGATTCACACCTGTAATCCTGGCATCAAGCAGGCTAAAACAGGAGGATTGCCTTGAGTCAAGGTCACCCTGGGCTACATAGCAAATACCAAACCAGGCAGGGCTACAGAACAACTCTCTCTCTCTCTCTCTCTCTCTCTCTCTCTCTCTCTCTCTCTCTCTCACACTCTCACACACACACACACGCATTTAAAAAGAAAAAAAAACCCTCGGGAGGCAGAGCCAGGTGGATCTCTGTGTGTTTGAGGCCTGCCTGGTCTACAGAGTGAGTTCTAGAACAGCTAGGGCTAC